AAACAAGGCGTGAAGGGGTTGTGGAAGTGTGAATCAGCCTCCAAGCTCTCTGGTGTGCGCAGCTGAGAGTTTGAGTGGGTTGTAATCGAGTGTCTGTGGTAGACTGACAATCCTCTTGTAAGATTGAGGGCAGGAGGCTGATGTCACTAGGCTCACCCCACTGGGACAGACTTGTTTTGTCTTCAGGTCTCAAAAAGTAAAAACAAAAACAAAAAACTGGACACGGTGGTACATGCCTTTAAACCCAGTACTTGGAAAGCAGAACTGGGTGAATTTCTGAGTTTGAGGCCAGTCTGGTCTACAGAGTGAGTTCCAAGGCAACCAGGGCTACATAATATAGAGATTCTGTCTTTAAAAAAAGGTGCAGGGGGTGAGGGGGAGAGAAGCATGGTGCTGCAGGCCTTTAGGCCCAGCATTCAGGAGGCAGGTGGATTTCTTCCGCTGTAGGCCAGCCTGATCTAAATAGTGAGTTCCAGACCAGCCAGGGCTACGGTGCTACAGGCCTGTAATACCAAACTTTGGGGGTGGAAGCAGGAGGGTCAGTGTCAGGGCCTGAGTGACATAGTCAGTCTATGGTAGAGTGCTCAACAGTCCCTGTATTCCTGCCTCGTCACAACCCAAAGTGACTCCTGGTCAGTGTCACAATGAGGGCCAGAAAACTTGCAGAACAGACAGAGAGAGGATGCAGAAGGCAATGTGCCAAACTGGGAGGTAGAGACAGGCAGATCTTTGTGAGTTCAAGGCCATCCTGGTCTACAGAGTGGCCAGCCAGGACAGCCAGAGCCACACAGAGAAACCCTGTTTTGATCCTATCTCAAAACAAACAAACAAAGCAAGCAAAGAGTCTAAGTAAGCAAGGGTGACCCAGCTGGGTATGGTGCCCCATTCACACTGGGAATCTAAGCACTCACGAGGGTGAGACAGGAAGATGGTAAGTTAGAAGTTAGCCTTGACTACACAGTGAAAGGGGCAAGGGTGGTAATGGCTGGAGAGATGCCTCAGGGGTTACAAGCACCTATCGCTCTTCCAGAGGCCCTGAATTCATACCCAGCACCCAAACAGTGCTTATGACTACCTGTAAGTCCAGCTCCAGGGATCTAACACCTATGGAGATCTGCTCATTCTGAACATGGTATGCAAAACTCACGAGGGCATAAGCAGATGCACATAACTAATAGTTAAGAAGTTGGAAGGATGGCTCATATTTATAACCTCAGCCCTCACTCGGGAGGCTGAGCAAGAGTTGAGAGTTCCAGGACAGCCTGAGCTTACAATGAGACCCTGTCTCATAAAAATAATAACCAATAAGACTCAGCCTGTAAAGGTGCCTGCTGTCAAGCTCGACCCCCAAGCCCCATACAGTGGAAGGGGAAACTCCCACAAATTGTCCTGGCCTCCACATATATACAGTGTGGTTGAGCGACTCTGGGATTTGAGCTCTTGGGTGGTAGAGGCAGGAAGATCAGGAATTCAAGGGTCAACCACAGTGTTAAGAGGTCAGAGAAGGAATCAGAAAACTGTCAGAAAAAAAAAAAAACAGAAAGAAAAAGGCCAAGATGATTAGTGCATGCTTTTGAAACAATTTTTTAAGAGGCAGATCTCTGTGAGCTCCAGGTCAGCCAGGACTACATAGTGAGATCCTGTCTCAAATAAACCATAAATAAAAATTTTTAAAAAGAGAGAAAGGGAAAGAAAAAAGAGATGGCTCAGTGGTTGCATAGACACCCAAATGATACACAGACACACATACATGCTGGCAAAAATACCTGACCTGCTCCAAAATGTGCCTGAGTTATAGAGCGGTAATAATTGGAGAGCCTTAAAAGAATCATGTGACAGACACTGCCTAAGGGCGGGGTGTGTCCAAGGGTGGCGCCTACCCGGGGCTGAGTCGCAAGAAACAGGAGGGCGGGGTCGGCCCTGGAGGGGGCGGGGTCCGCGGGAGGGATCGCGGCAGAGGAAGCCCCGCCTCGGTGCTCGGGGCCTTGCGGGCGCGTCGCCTTCACCCAGGTCCCTGCGGACTTTAGGGGGAAGTGAGTCTGGACCCCGTGACCCGGCCGTCCTGGGTCTTTCCACAGATTCCATCGCTGCCGCCTCATGGCAGGGCCGAGCTCGCTGCTGCTGGCCGCGCTGCTGTGGGTCCCTGCCGAAGCCCTGAGCTGCTATGGAGACTCCGGGCAGCCTGTGGACTGGTGAGCAAGGAGCTGCCTGCCCGACTGTCCCCTCAGGCTGCGTGGGCACCGGCGCGGGCACTGGGATTGAGGCGCTTTTCGGCGAAACCTCAGATCCCTTCACTCCCCCGCTTGTCTCCCCTGACCTCCAGGTTCGTGGTATACAAGCTGCCAGCGAACAGCGGGTCTGGGGATAGTTCATGGAAGGGTTTGAAGTACAAATACATGGATCAGAGCTCCGACGGTTGGCGCGACGGTGTGGGATACATCAACAGCTCGGAGGGAGCCGTGGGCCGCAGCCTGCTGCCGTTGTACCGAGACAACTCCAGCCAGGTGACCGAGTGCTGTGGGAACATGGGCTGGATTACTGTGGTGGGTCCCACGGGGTAGGGAGGATAGTTACGTGGCCTCTTTGCATTCTTCCAGCTGGCCTTCCTACTCTACAACGACCAGCCTCCTAATCCCAGCTCAGCTCCGGACTCTTCCAGCCGTGGCCATACAAAGGGTGAGGCTTGGGCTGGTGGTCCTGGAACCGCCCTGAATTTCTTGTAAATTTACCCAAACTAATCTGTGACCTACATGAAGGGTGATGGTGGGGGGATCTGCCCCGTCCAACCCTCGGCCAGAGTTTCCTATCAGTACCTAAGACTCCAGTACCTGGTTACAGATGAGCTGGCTCGAGGGGCCTACTTCCAGCAGCTTCTCTGACTTCCTTCTTGTGACTTAGGTGTTCTGCTCCTGGATCAAGAAGGGGGCTTCTGGCTGATCCACAGTGTGCCGCGCTTCCCACCCCCTGTGTCCTCTGGTTCATACAGCTGGCCTCCTAATGCTCAAACCTATGGCCAGACCCTACTCTGCGTGTCCTTCCCCTTCACCCAGTTTCTCGAGATTGGTAAGTGGAATCGTTAAGGTGTGGTAAATCTCAAACTGCTTGGCATAACCAGTCTCACGTTTTCCCCCTGGCCTTGTCTTCCAGGCAGGCAGCTAATCTATACCTATCCCCTGGTCTATGACCACAAGCTGGAAGGCAACTTTGCCCAGAAATTACCTGACCTACAGCAGGTGATCAAGGGTTACCATGTCCTCCATGAGCCCTGGAACAGTAGAGCAACACTCACGTCACAAGCTGGGGCCACCTTCCAGAGTTTTGCCAAGGCTGGAAAATTTGGAGATGGTGAGTCCTGGGGTTGAGGGGTAAAGAGCGCTTTCTTTGACAGCCCCAAGCCTGAGGGCAGGGCACATTTAGAGCCAGATGACTTTGCGAGTCATATTACAGTAACAGCCGTGAGTAGCAAACATCCAACAGGCCAGCTGGGCAGACGGCACATATCTGTAATCCCAGCACTACGGAGGCTGAGATAGGAGCTCGAGATTGGCCAGCAGACCTAGGTTCAAGTGTTGGTTCTGGATGTGCAGTATATGATATGACCTGAGTCTGTTTGCTCATCTGACAATTTAGAATATTGATGCTTTCCCTAAGAGGGTTGTGAAATAGCGTAGGTTCTTTGGTAAGGATGACCTTGTTCTCGTTTTGTTTTTGTTTTGGACATAGGGTCTCAATGTATAGCCCTGACTGGTCTGGAATGCACAGAGATCCACCTGCCTCTGCCTCCTGAGGGCTGATTTTAAAGGTTTGGGCCACCATGCCTAGCCTATCCTTTTGTTTTTGAGGTAAGGTCTCACTGTACATTGCAGGCTAGACCACCTGAGATTCTCTTGTTCCAATTTTCAGAGCGTTAGGATTGTAGATGTGACCTGGCTTGTTCATGTCACTCCAGAATTAGACAGTTGAGCTCTGAGAAAGACACTGGCCTGAGGACTCTAACAGCGACCCTCCCCTCCCCCTTCCTTTGCCTGCAGACCTGTACTCTGGCTGGTTGGCAGCAGCCCTCGACAGCGACCTACAGGTCCAATTCTGGCCAAATTCTCAAGGCACCCTGTCTTCCAACTGCTCTGGGACGCACCAGATTCTTGATGTGAATCAGACAGGCTTCTCTGGCCCATCTGGACCGACCTTTAGTGCCACTGAAGACCACTCCAAATGGTGTGTGGCCCCTCAAGGGCCTTGGGCCTGTGTGGGTGACATGAACAGGAACAAAGGAGAGATGCACCGAGGTGGGGGCACACTGTGTACCCAACTGCCTTCCTTCTGGAAGGCCTTCCAGTCCCTGGTAAAGGCCTGCAAGCCCTGTGAAGAGAACAGCTGACCAAGAGCCCAACAGAGCAAAGACTAAAAGAGTCAGGGACTAGCTGGGCATGGTGGCGTTCACCTTTAATCCCAGCACTGAGAGGCAGGCAGATCTCTGAGTTCAAGGTCAGCCTGGTCTACAAAATGAGTTCCAGGGCTACACAGAGAGAGTGTGTCTTGAAACCCCCAACCCCCCAAAAGGGACTAGTTTAGACTTGAATTTATTTTGGGGGGGGGTGGTTTTGAACCTACCACAAGCTGCACAATCACCCTACAGCTGAACTCCACCCTCTGCCCTGACTATGAGTCTGAATACCAATCCAGCCCCTTCCTAACTGGGTACTTAATAGTGCCTTAACCTCTCTGACTGTCTACTGGTTTGTAATATGGGCATCACAACACATGTCTCTAGACGCTGTAATAAAAGGAACTCTGTACATGAGGCTGTTACCTTTCTCTTCAGACAGACACTAGGACACAGTGGTGGGACCACCACTTCCTAGGTCTGCCCCAAGCTGTTTTCATGTGAGGAACTGGCAGTGGATGGGACTCAGAAAGGCTCAACTGACAACTACCTTCCCACTTCTACCAAGCACAGGAGCCATTCCTTGTCCCGAGAGGAAATGTGAACCCCGGAAAGCTCAGGCAGCACGGGCACTTTATTTATATGTGTACATATGTATACAGGCAACTGTACAACACAGGGCCAAAGGCCTGCCCCGCTATGGGCCTAGAGGTGCGGGGCTGGGTGCCCCAGTTTTGGTTAGGCCTGCGGAAGTCACGGCTTCGGCAGGACACCGGGAGTTCAACCCTGTTTCAGGCTTGGCGCCTGGGACCACAAGGGAAGCAGGAGGGACTGGAGGAACTGCACTTCGGGACACATTCTTTGTTGGGACTAGGGCTGGAGTCTGGGGGTCGGGAGAGAGCTTAGGGGAAGCGGGCTTGGAGCGAGGTCCGCTTAGTGTGGTCCGCTCTTCCACCTCCTCGAGCACCCAGCGCTCCCGGCCCCTTGGCGCTTCAGGCACTAGAGGCACCTGGGCTACAGGTTCTTTCAATCCCTTGGAGTCTGTGCCCAGAGGCTGAGTTGTCTGGGTCTTGACCCCTGGCCGGGCAGGCTCTACAACAATGGGCACCGGGGGTGGGCCTGCCTCGCCAGAGCTACAGCGCCGGCCTGTCTCATGTTCCTGCACCGGGCTTAGCGCCGCCTTGGCCAAGGCCCTGGCCACCCCACCTGGGCCATCCTCAGTCTGCACGCTCTGGTGCCTCGTGCAGCCCGAGTCACGCTCCAGGGTCCGGCTCCCGGGGGTTGTCGCGCGAGGCGGGGTGCAAGCCTCTGCACCCCCCGGGGACTCCTCTTTACTTGACGCCATCGGCCTCGGGGCACCCTCGGGTAGCAATGGGTCCGCGCCCAAACTCAGGGGCGATTCCTGGCGGCCCAGGCGTCGCACGGCGACCTGCCGGGTCGTTCCAGGACCCTCGATGGGAGGCGTCTCACCATCGGACTCGGCGAGGCTATGTAGTGCCAGCTCACCGTGGAAGTCCTTGCGGAAATCCGGGTGACCCACTTCGAGGCTGTGTTTGCGCAGTGCGCCTTTTTTGTCTGAGCCCAGCGAAGCCCCCAGCTTCTCCGCTGACTGCACCCGCTTGAGCAGCGGCGAGCGTGGCGGCTCTGCACTCTTGGGGCGCGGGCGCACAACAGGCGGTGAGGAGTGCAATTTGGCGGGGAAGCTCTGCGTGGTGTGTGAGCTGCCCACCGTGTGGCCTGGAAGCGGCGGCGGCGACGCCTGCGTCGGGGATGGCGTGTGTGCCAGTGGTGACAGCGGGATGTTGCCGGCCGATTTACAGCGTGCAGAGCGGTACTGACGGTGTAGCTTCGGTGAAAGCCCGTGCAGGGTGCTGGGCCGGATGTGGTGCGACGCCGATGACGCGGGAGAGTTAGGGGTGCTGGAAGCTGGGGAGCTACTCTGTGATGAGGCGCCTGCAGGCCAGAGAAGGTGCAAGCAGTCTGAGCACTGCAGTGCCCCGTCCCCTACCCCGCGCAGGCGCAGAACCTACCTAGGTACGCGGAGTCAGGCGTGGAGCGATAGCTGTGCGTGGGCGAGCGTGCTGGTAATCCGTGCGTGGGCGAGCCGGGAAGACTGTCGCTGGACGACAAGGACCGGTTCAGTGAGGACAGCGATCTGCTAGTGTGCAGCAGGTTTGACTGTTTTGTGATCTTCCGGAAGAGGGAGCTGCGCTTCTTACTGGGGGATAAATACCAAAGGGTCAGCTCTCCTTAACTCTGGAACTCTGGGTTTTCCCGCTTCTGGATTGCAGCCCAGTAACCGCCTACCCCTTCCTAGCACTCCCCTTTCCCTACAACCCATCTATTGAAGCAGAACTTTTGACTCGATCCTGGTTGGACATGCCTACTCTTTCCTGGCCACTTAACAATCCCAGCCAGAAATCCCTTCCAAACAAACTCGGCCCCTTCTGGTCTCCGCCACATATTTTAGTCACGCCCCTTCGCACTCAACTCTCTTACTCGATTGATTTGCTTCCTTCACTGAAATCCTCACTTAGGTCCTGACCAAACTTACTGATCAAAACTGCTCCCCCAACCTCTTTCTTAGACAGGGTCACTATATAGTTCTGACTGTACTGAAACTATGCAGACTAGGCTGGCTTCCAACTCACAGAGATCTGCCTCCCTCTTGCGCACTGGGATTAAAGGCGTGCGCCAGTACAACCAGCTGTCAAAACTGTTCTCTTTGTAGCTGGAGAGATGACTCAGCAGGTAAGAACAGTGGCTGTTCTTCCAGAGGACCGGGGTTGGAATCCCAGCACCCACATGGCATCTGACAACCACCTGGAACTCTCTTTCCAGAGAATCTGGCACCCTCTTCTGGCCTCCTTAGGCACCAGGTACACACGTGATACACATCAACAGAAGCAATCAAAACGTTAATGCAAGGAAACAAAATCTAAAACAAAACAAAACTGTTCTCTTGGGGCTGGAGCGATAGCTCAGTGGTTAAGAGGGTATATTGCCCTTGCAGAGAACCTGGGCGCCTCTGTTGGACAGCTAGCTCAGAATGCCTGTAACCCCAGCTTCCAGGGGAATCCCATGCCCTGTTTTGGCCTCCACAGGCCAAAACATACTCATATTCACAGACACACACTTATGCATGATTAAAATAAAATCCTTTTAAAATTTAAATAAACTTTTCTCTTGGATCTGGGGAGGTGACTCTGTGGGATGAATACCTGGGTTCAGTCCACAGGGCAAGCACATGTGTGCATGAACACACACACACATCAGTATTCCTGGTCCCACCCTTTCCCTTAGCCCTTCCAATGTATAAGAGAAGAACTTACAGTCATGCCCCATAATATAACCACATAATATAAGCCACACCGTGTTAGTCTCACATGACTATCTGGCCTAGTGACCTCCCAGGTGAGCTGATATTCACGGCAGGAAATCCTGGGAGTGAGGAAGTAAAGATGCATTTGTCCTGACACTTCCATCGCGACAAATAATGCTTGACTATGTTTCCTTTCTTTTCTTCCCGTCCTCTATAGGCTCACACTGGCCTTTAATATCCAGAGGTCCCCTTGCCTCAGCCTCCCAAGAGCTGGAATTACAGGGGTGCCCCCACCTGATGGTCTGCTTAACTGTATTCCAGGTGGCTCAGTCTTTTTGTTGTTGTTTTGGGTTTTGTTTGTTTTTGTTTTTCAAGACAGACTTTCTCTGTGTAACAGTTCTAGCTGTCCTGGAACCAGTGTTTGTGTTGTTTTGTTTTTGAGACAGCATCTCTCTACATACGTCCTGAACAAGACCAGGCTAGCCTTGAACTCAGAGATCAGCCTGTCTTTGCCACCACACTGTCTTTGAACCTTGGGAATTGGGGACCGCTGGAATTAAAGCATGTACCACCTTGCCCAGCCAGTAGTAATCTTTTATCTCAACCCCTTTCAAATCCTGTTGAAAGAGGTCTAACCTGATCAAGGGTTTATCCACAATGCTTTTATTTTAAATAGTTTCCTTCCCAGGCTCCCCTACTTCCCCCCCCCCCCCCGGGTTTGATTGACAGTCTTTACTTCCCTTCCCTTCCTACCCACCACACTTTCCCTTCTGTTCCTAGCATCTCTCACACCACCCATTGTTAGGAGGATAAACTACTTATGGTCCCGCCCACCTCTCTTGGCCATCTTTAGCGGAAGGCCTCTTGTTCCTACGAGCCATTTTGGCCTTGTAACTGCTGCGCCTGGCAGGCCCAATGCGGATGGAGGTGTTTTCAAAGGGTGTGGTGGTCACAGCTACTTTGTTGCCGCTCTGGGAGAAGGGAGGGAAACCCATTGGTTAGAGGCTGCTGGGTCCTGTTCCACCCTCCTTTCCTTTCCTTTCCACTCACCTTCAGGATCAGCTCCACCACCTCAGGATGCACCATGCCATGCACAGGCTCACCGTTCACGTGGGTGATGAGGTCCCCAGCACAGAGCCCTGCCTCTTGTGCAGGACCCCCTTCCTCCACGTGCTGTAAATGGGGAAACCCACAGGGGCATGATTATGATTGAGGGGTTGAAAAGGAAGAAAGCTCCATATTATTTGCTCTGGTTCTTTATGAAATAGTCATTATTCTCCCCATTACACAGATGAAGAAACTGAGATTAGAGAACTAAGAGAGAGAGAGAAGTCTCACCTAGAGTCTCCTGCCTTTCACCCTAAGCATTGTGTCCCCCCAGTCCCCAGCCTGTGAGACTCACCCACACAATATGGTGGACACTGTAGACATCTGAGTCGCCCATGTAAACACGAATGGCACGCAGCGTGAACCCGTATTTCTTGCCTGAGCGTTGGATGGTGATGGGGGACCGGAGTCCACTGACAGCTGGTGAGTAGTCCCGGCTAGGTGAAGAGTCCCGTGAGGATGGATTGGAGGAGAGAGATCGAGGGGACATGGGACTAGCAAGGGGTGAGCCTCCGTGTGGGTCCACTGCAGACACAAAACAATGATCAGAGATCAGGACAAACCTCACAGCGCCATCCCAGCGTCTGTCCTTCGTGCCTTCCGAGTCAAAGCCCCATAGCAGATTCTTCATTGCTACATCCCGACAGCAAAGGTGCACCTGTCAGTCACCACTGCAGGGAACCCCTTCCCAGGCGGGTGGGGCCCAGCTTCACCTGCAGGAATCATGACCGACAAGGCGGTAGCCGAGGCTGACTTGATAACTTTGCCCCCAGTTCGAGAAGGTCGCTTCTCCACAGCAAGATCTCCAGACAGCTGCTGGTGCCTTGCCCTTCGCAAAACCAGGTCATTGGTGGCCCTGGGACCTGATGGGTCTCCATCCTTGGAGGGTGGGCACAGGTCACCTGGGTGTGAGCGCTCAGCTGCAAGAGAGAGCAAGAGCTATCAGGTGAGGGGCTTTTCATGCACTCTTCCTGTTCCTTACGCTGCACAGAACAGCCATAGACCCTGTGGTACAGCCTCTGGCCCCAGACAGCAACACCAGCCTTCCATTTGGCTGAATGACAGCCTGGGATAGTGAGTGTTGGTTTTGAGAAAGGGTCTCAAATGCCTGCCTATTCGAGAACTCACTGTGTCGACCAGATTGGCCTTGAACTCATAGAGACCACCTGCCTCTGTCTCCCAAGTGCTGGGTCTGTAGGCAGGTACCATCGCATTTGGTTTGGTGCTCTCTTAGTTTCTATTTATTTTTATTTGATGAGTGTTTCGCCTGCATGTATGTATGCGCACCGTGTGTTCAGTGCCTGCAAAGTCAGAAGAGGGCGTTGCATTCCCTGGAACTGAAACTGTGAATGCTGTGAGCAATGCAGTAGTTCAGATCCTGGGAACTGGGCCTGAGGTCTCTGAAAGAGCAGCAAGTGCTCTTAACCACTGAACTATATGTCTCCAGCCCCTGAGTGATCTTTATAAAAGGAAATTCAGCTAGCAACCCCCACTCACCTCATCCCCACCTCAGAGGTAGAATTACCAGCTCTTCCGAACTATGCTTTTTTTGGGGGGGGGGGTTGGTTTGGTTTTTTGAGACAGGGTTTCTCTGTAGCTTTGGAGCCTGTCCTGGAACTTGCTCTGTAGACCAGGCTGGCCTCGAACTCACAGAGATCCACCTGCCTCTGCCTCCCGAAAGCTGAGATTAAAAACGTGTGCCACCACCACCCGGGCTCCAAACTACCACTCCTACCACAAGTTTTGTTGTGTGGCTAAATCCTTAAGCCATAGCCCAGGTACCCCACTGAGCCTCACCGACCTTGTTAAGCTCTCTCAGTGGTAACACCCTCAGTTAGGTGCGTGTACAGTGCATGGGATCTTGCACGTACATTAATTGGATGCTCAATAGATGGTCCCTGGGAAACTGGGGGAGAAGGCACTCACAGGCCTCTGGGTCTCCAGGAGTAGAAATTCCCTCTCCTTGTGCTGCCTCTTTGGGGAGACGTGTATCCAGTGAGCTAGAGGGATCGGAGCTGGGCCGAGGAGGCCTGCGGAGTCGGGCCTCATCTTCGTCTTCCTGAGGGGCACTGAAGCGGCTGGGCTCCAGCAGCGCCGAGAAACGTCTGCGTGCTCCCAGCGGGGGACTGGCCTCCCCTTCCAGGAAACTGGCTTCAGACGCTGAGAAGCGCTTACTGCACGGAGGGCGGCCAGATCAGAAGGGACACTCCCATTCGGCCCCGCCCTGAAGCCCCTCTATAGCCCTGCTTACATCTCCGGGGAACCCCCTCTCCAGGTCTTCTCGCGCAGAGTCAGGCCACCCAGTCCCTCCCGCTTGCTGGCCACCTTCTCCTCTGGGCCCTTGGCGCTTGGGTCCCGTTTGCTAGCGCCTGATGCTGACACAGGGGTCTTGGGCTCGTGCTGCGACAGCTGCTCCATACTGCTATACACCTAAGAGCCGAGGAGTGGGAGATGCTGAGTCCGTCTTCTCGCGACATCCAGTCAGTTTTTCTGCAACCGCGCTCTGTCCTCCCTGGGCGCCGTTTGCTCAATTCTACAATTCCCTGCAGTTCTGCCGTCCAGAACCCTCAAAGTCAAGCCTGCCTGTTCTAGACCCTCCCGGTCCAGCTCCCTGATCGCTGTGTTCTCTACCTTCCCCCGCTTCTGTCTGTCGGGCACCAGGTTGGGCCAGGCATCCCTCCAGTTGCTCAGTACTGGTTGGACCCTTGCACGGCTTTGCCCCGCCCCCGCGGTCATCCTCAACCTCAGGCCAGCCCAGTGGCAAAGATCTGCCCTGTAGACCCCCACCCTCCTCCCCAACAAGATTTCTCCACTCCCTAGCTCCCACCCCTTCTGCAACTTTCCAAACGGAGAACCCTGAGTGCCTGGGACCCTTGCAGCCCAGCCCGGCTCGGCGCACCTTGCTGAAGCGCGGAGAGCAGGAGGAGAATTGGCGGATCTCCACGGGCTCCTCCTCGGTGGTGTCGTCCTCGTCGTAGGAGTTAACGTGGTGATACCTGTCCGAGCGGGCTGGAGAACCGCCGCCTCCTCAGAGCCCAGCCAGACTTTGTCCTCGCCATGCCCCCTCCAGTTTGCTCCGGGCTCCTCCCCCAGACGCCTCCCCCGCCCCCATTCTCCAAATCTCTCTGCCTTTCCCCAAGTCTTGGGGAGGTCAAACTACCAGATCCGCGTTTACAGCACCCAGCACCCTGATTCCACCTCAGGCTACTACAAGTCTTGCTCCCTTCTGGGTCCTAGCCCTGTCATCTAGCCAAAGTCCAGGCCCAACCTGACAACTCCCCCACGTTGAGGCTCAACCCCTGTCCCCTACCAAAGTCATTACCCACGTCTTAGTACAGGCACTGCTCCTAAAGTGGACCGCGCCAAATCCCAGGAGGCCATGCCCCAAAAGCAATTGGGTCTTGTCTCTTTTTTTGCCTTCCTGGGGGTTAAACAGAAGTTCTCTCCCATGCTAGGCAAGCAAACACTCTACCCCTAAGCCATGTCCCTAACCATTGTCTCAGTGACACTTTTCTTTTCGTTTTTCTTCTTTTAATAATAAAAAGTGTGTGTGTGTGTGTGTGTGTGTGTGTGTGTGTGTGTGTGTGTGCCGCGTGCGCGCATGCGCATACACTTGAGTTTTGGTGTAGGTTCCTGGGGAGGCTAGAGGCATCAGATCCAGGGAATCTACGGTTACAGATGTTTCTGAGCATCCCTTGCCGTCCGCCAATCCCCACCCTCTGGCATGGGGTGTTGGAAACAGAACCTGTGTCCACGCTGGCAGTAAGGACTCAGAACCCTTGAACCTTCTTCCCAGCTTTTTGTCATTTCTGTTCTGTTTTAATGTGTCTGAGTGTTTTGCCTGCATGTATGTCACGGCGTCACACTCATGCCTGGTGTCCCTGACGGTCAGAAATGGATGCTGGATCCCCTAGGCCTGAAGTTATAGCTGACTGTGAATTGGGTTCTGAGAATAACTACTGAGCCATCTCTGTAGCCCCACCACCACTTTCTGAGAGGGTCTCATTATGTAGCCATGACTGGCTAGCCTGGAACTCACAGAGATCTACCTACATTTGCCTCCCAAGTGCTGAGATTAAAGCCGCATGCTACCATGCCCAGCTTCAAAACGGTTTACTGTAGCCAAGGTAGCCTTGAACTTGAGAGATAGTTGAGGATCACCTTGAACTCGAGGTAGCCCAGCTTCCCAAGTGCTGGGATAACAGACATTTGCCACAATGTCCAGATTCACTTTCTATTTTAAAATGGGGTCTCACCAAGGTGCCCGGGCTGTCCCTGAACTCTCAGTGACACAGAAAACCTTCTTAGGAGCTGGGAGGACGGGCCTGCACCCTGAGGCCTGAGCAGCTTCAGTCTTTTTATCCTGACACACCCTCAGACAGGCCCTGTCCTAGCCCTCTAGCTAAGGCCTCCTTGGATCTGGCTTTGTGTCTTTCCCTACCCCCAACTCACTGTCAAAGTAGCTGGTGTCATCTTCCGACTCTAGGTGGGGAATGAACTCTGCCTTCTGCCGCAGCAGCCCCGTCCAGTCTAGGTCTCGGAAGAAACTGTGTTGCTTCACTTCAAAAGCCCCACCTGTGGGCAGGAGACACCTGACAGCCTGCCCAGCCGCCAAGACCCCCAACCCCCAGCCCTTCCGGCCATCTTCTACCGCAGGCCTCAGGTGGACCAGTCCTGCTTCCCAAGCTCAGCCGACTGTGCAGAAAGGCATCTTACCTGCCCCAAGTCGGACCAGGGGGTTGGTCTGCAAGAGGCTAGATATTAGCAGCTGGGCGTCTGTAGGCAGGGCCTCATCTCCTTCAGGCCATAGTATGTCATCTGCAAAGCGAAGGGAAGTTGAGCGGTCCAGGCTGCCCATCTTTCCACAGTCCCACCTACCCACCTAGGAGGCACGTACCACTGATGACCTGTCCAAAGAGCTCTTCTGGGGTATCCCCGAAGAAAGGCACACAGCCTACCAGGAACTCGTAGAGAATGATCCCCATAGCCCACCAGTCCACTGGCTTGCCGTAGCCCTGGCGCAGGATGACCTCGGGTGCGATGTACTCTGGGGTCCCACACACCTGGGGGCAGGCGGTCAGCCTGTGCCCTGGCCACAGAAGGGGCCTCAAGGGAGAGCTGTGCCCCCCACCAGGCCCTGGGCCCCTGAGGTCCTTCCAGGTCACTCCACCCTTGGTGACCCCCATGCCCGCCACACACCTGTTTGTCCAGGAACTCCCGGGCATCCTTCTCAATGTGGCCTTCATATAAGTTGGTTGTGAGACTCATGAGTCCCATCTTGGAGAGGCCAAAATCCGTGAGTTTGATGTGGCCCATGGAGGTGATGAGGAGGCTGCAGGCACAGAACATAAGCAGGTTTCAAAAGTGAGTCCTTTCCCTTCACCCACGTGTCTTCCAAGGAACAGGACAGGGTTAGAATAAAGGTCAAGACTCACTTGTCTGGTTTGAGATCACGGTGCACGATGCCATAATTGTGTAAGTACTCAAGGGCCAGAACCGTTTCTGCAAAATACATCCGAGCCATCTCCACGGGCAGCGCCCCAATGTTCTTCAGGAGGGTGGCACAGTCACCACCTGAGAGTCAGGGAAGGGAATCAAGCAAAGAGGGGTCACCCTGCACCCAAAGCCAAGCACACAGCATGCATTGTAGCTCTACTTCCATTGTACCCATTTGCAGAAGGGGAAAACTGAGGTCTAGGGATGGAGCCAGTCTGAGAAGGAGCTGCACTCTCCTAGGCTCACCTCCCGCTATTAGTCATCCTCTGGCATTGGTATGACCAGTCCACTTTCTACATAAGGACTCTGACTCAGGTCTGCTCAGACAGGAAGCTGATGATTGTGAGTTTTGTTTGGAATCAAAGACAGCATGACTTGACCTCTTGAGAATTGAACCTTGAGGGCCAGAGTTTTTTTTTCCATAGTAAGAAAAGTATAACCATGTTTATTAAACTTGAGGTAAGTCCTGTACAATAAAATAAAAGAATTTCTAGAGGCATCACAATCCCTGACTTCAAACTCTACTACAGAGCTGCAGTACTGAAAACAGCCTGGTATTGGCATAACAATAGACAGGAGGACCAATGGAACTGAATAGAAGACCCGGATATCAATCCACACATCTTTGAATATCTGATTTTGACAAAGAAGCAAAAACTATCAAATGGAAAAAAAGAAAGCATATTTAACAAGTGGTACTGGCATAACTGGATATCAACATGTAGAAGAATGAAAACAGATTCATATCTATCACCGTGCACAAAACTCAAGTCCAAATGGATCAAAGATCTCAACATAAAGTCAGCCATACTGAACCTTATAGAAGGGAAAGTTGTAAGTACACTTGAATGCATTGACCCTGGAGACCACTTCCTAAATATAACCCCAGCAGCACAGACACCAAGAGAAACAATTAATAAATGGGACCTCCTGAAACTGAAAAGCTTCTGTAAAACAAAGGGCACAGTCAACAAGACAAAACAACAGCCTACATACAGAATGGGAAAAGATCTTCACTAACATCTGACAGAGGTCTGATCTCCAAAATATATAAAGAACTCAAGAAGTTGGACACCAAAAGAACACATAATCCAATAAACAGATCTAAACAGAGAACTCTCAACAGACGAATCTAAAATGTTTGAAAGACACTTAAGGAAATGTTCAACATCCTTAGTCATCAGAGAAATGCAAATCAAAGCAACTCTGAGATTCCATCTTACACCTGTAAGAATGACCAAGGTCAAAAACACTGATGACAACTTATGCTGGGGGAAAAGGGAACACTTCTGCATTGCTGGTGGGAATGCAAGCTGGTACAACCCCTTTGGATGTCAGTGTGGTGATTTCTCAGGAAATCAGGAAACAACCTTCCTCAAGACCCAGTAATACCACTTTTGGGTATATATCCAAAGGATGCTCAATTGTGCCACAAGGACATGTGCTCAATTATGTTCATAGCAGCTTTGTTTGTCCTAATCAGAACCTGGAAACAACCTAAATGCCCCTCGACCGAAGAATGGATAAGGAAAATGTGGTACATTTACACAATGGAGTACTACACAGCAGAAAAAAATAATGACATCTTGAATTTTGCAGGAAAATGGATGGAGCTAGAAAACATTATTTTGAGTGAGGCAACCCAGACACAGAAAGACAATTATCACATGTACTCACTCATAGGTGATTTTTAAACATAAAGCAAAGAAAACCAGCCTACAAATCACAATCCCAGAGAATTTAGACCACAATGAGGACACTAAAAGAGATTTACATAGATCTAATCTACATAGGAAGTAGAAAGTAGAAAAAGACAAGATCTCCTGAGTAAATTGGGAGCATGGGGACCTTGGGGGAGGGTTGAAGGGGTGAGGGGAGAGGCAGGGAGGGGAGCAGAGAAAAATATAGAGCTAATAAATATCAATTAAAAAAAGTGAAAAAAAGAAGTTTTTCAGAATACAAAAGAAAAAAACAAATAAACAACACCCCCCCCCCAAAAAATAACCTTGAGGTAAGGTGGGCAGGGAAAAGAGGGAGAAGCACATTCTGGAATGATTTCTCAAACCAGCACTCACACTGGTACCCAGATCAATGGCTGGGACACCGCCCTCCCAGCTGGCAGAGCCCTTCCTTCCCTAGGAAGAACAGCAGCAGAAGGGTGACTGCTCCACCCCCATCTGTTCCCTCTGTAGTTCTCAGTTGGCATTCTGGGAAAAGGGAATTACCTCTATCACCTGCAAGTTACTCAGAGCTGACAGTTCTTTCGTTTAAGGAAGAAGAAGAGGAGGAATAGCTGCCTTAGGTGGAAGGCAGGAAGGCGGGACTGGAGGGCCGCGCAAACCCAATGGAAGGAAACCCACTCCTGGTCAGAGGTTTTTTTTTTGTTTGTTTTGTTTTTTTTAAAGATTTATTTATTTATTATGTATACAACATTCTGTCTGTGTGTATGTCTGCAGGCCAGAAGAGGGCACCAGACCTCATTACAGGTGGTTGTGAGCCACCATGTGGTTGCCGGGAATTGAACTCAGGACCTTTGGAAGAGCAGGCAATGCTCTTAACCACTGAGCCATCTCTCCAGCCCCCCTGGTCAGAGGTTTTTAAACATAGGCTCCTGGCCTCCACCCAGGAGGAGTGTGGCCCACATGTTATTAGTCATGACGCAGGTGGGACCCACAGCCTTGCACATGCTCAGCAACCACTCCACTCCTGAGTCACACTCTCAGCCCCTGGTGGTGGCTTCTAGACAGGTGTTTTACTACTGAACCACATCCTTGCTCAAATACCAGTATTTCAGTCTGCCTGATAGCCATTCTCCCCTTTTCTTACAGGGGAGCTGTCACTCTGGGCAGGGTACCTAGGTCAATATGCAGCAGGTTTATGCTCTCCAAGGTTTATGCTCTTTTGCACGAACATTGGCCATAGCATGGAATCTGCTGGGCAGCAGCCTTGCTACAGTAGGGTATATCAGGAGGGAATGTGCATATGAGAGTGCAGGGCTATGTGATAGCTAATGGCTTGGTAATAGCACCTGGATACAGTCACTCCGAAAGGGGGCACAGACCTTTCTATCAAGTGAGCTGATATATTTCTTTATTGCATAATATAGAAAAAGATAGATGAAATGGCTGGGGCTGAAACCAAGCACACACAGGGTCCTGGGTTCAAACTCCAACACTCCTCAGAAATACAGAAAGATGGAAAATAAATGTAAAATATAAAGCAAGAATGATGATGTAAAGTATGAGCTTTAGTTAATACTATAATTAGTTAATTTATGATATTTTATTTACAATAATATTTATTATTAACTAAATCATAACTGAAGCTGGCCTCGAACTTCCTCTACCTATGATGGGCTGTGGACATGGCCCAGAGGGAGAGTCAATGCCTAGAATCCCCCAATAAGGGGTTAGGAGTGTGCCTCAGCAGAACACACCCAGAAAAGCAGAATTGGAGAGGGACAAACATGTGGAAAGTGAAAGGAGTAAATGGGGGATGCTGCACCCCTCTACTCCCAGCTACCCGGGGGCTGAGTGATGCTGCACCCCTCTACTCCAGCTACCCGGGGGCTGAGTGATGCTGTACCCCTCTACTCCAGCTACCCGGAGGCTGGGGGAGGCTGCACCCCTCTACTCCAGCTACCTGGAGGCTGGGGGAGGCTGCACCCCTCTACTCCAGCTACCCGGAGGCTGGGGGAGGCTGCACCCCTCTACTCCAGCTACCCGGAGGCTGGGGGAGGCGATGGAACAGGGAGTTCCAGGTCAGTGTCAGCTACACTCTGAAGACTATTTCAGGAAGAAAGACAGGAAGGAAGGAAGGAAGGAAGGAAGGAAGGAAGGAAGGAAGGAAGG